TGAACATGGCCCTGGGGTTTGCCTTCCCGGGTGAGGCACCGCGGCTGACGGTGTTCACGTTCCCGGTGCATTGCAATGCAGAGCACAGTGTGTCCGGTTAAACTGCTGTCAGCGCTGGAGCCACTCTGGAAGTGTCACACTTGGAACTAAGTGGTAGAAAAGTTGGAGGAGAAATCCCTGTTTTTTTCACTTCACTGGCAGCCCAAACAGTCTCATTTAAACTTCTTGTTTCCATTATTGTTCTGGTTTGATTTGGTCTTTTGTCTGTTCCTGAATATGTACCACTTATGCTAAACTTCTATCCAGCCATCAAGATGGAAGAAAAACAGGTGTTAATCTGTGAATTAGATGTTGAAATATTTTGTAATTTGATTCAAAGCTTTATTTAAATCACAAAAAGCATGTGTGTGTGTTTTTCTTTTCCCCTCTCAGGTTTGCAATTATGTGTGGCTATATGTCTCAGTTTGAAAGTGTACAAAACAAAATCAGGAATGGTTATCTCTTTAAGGTATGTTTTGTAGGGTTTTGGTTTTTATTAAGCTATTCTTTTAAATTATTTCCTTACATAGTGTCACAGACAGATTTTTCCAGCTCAGTAATTCAGCCTTACTGGTCTATTTTGGTGCTGCTAAAGTGAATAAGTTATTTTTATGTATGCAAATAGATTGTATGCTTACAAAATAGAAGAATTGAGTTAGGATTCTGGGAAGAGCATTAAGATTTCTCTTTTATTTTGTAGTCAAAGGGGGGAAGAAAAGGGAGTAACAATTCTGTTCAATAAATAAAAACATATGAAATATGAAATTATGAATTAACACAGTTCTGCAGTCATTCATCATGCCACCATTAAAAAGTAATGTTTGTTTTAACAATGTCCTTTCAAAGGTAATTGTGGTTTTTAGAGTTAGCAGTTTGTGTTATATGTGCTGCTCTCCCCCTCCTTGTCCTCAGCATTGCTTAGGTGCTTTCCATCCCTTGCCTTCCCAGCCAGTGTCTCCCCTTTCTGGGTGTCAGTGAGGGACAGAAGACGCGTTCCACTTCCCGGGGAACGCCCAGGATGAGTCCCTATCACATCATGTCTGTGTTAGGGCTTGGAGTATCGCAAAGCTTTTCTATGAGAGAGCATTAATTACATCTGAGCTGCGCCAAGTGAGCTAAGCCCTGAGCACTGGGGCAAGCTGAGAACGAAGGGAAATGACAAATAACACAAGTGGTGCAGTTGTTTGAGGATGGAGTTTAAAAGGAGCCCAAAGCAGTAGCCTTTTCAGGGAGGTTTTCCTCTTCACAAGTAATTACTGAAATCTGTGTGAATCATTTCAAAATGTTAAGGATTTGGGGAAAAATAATAGCATGAAAACATAGCTTCTATCTGAATAGTTTGTGGACAAAATGATAGAATAATAGACTCTTAGATGTGTATAACTCAGTTATTTTCATGACAGGCTAATTAGAAAAACAGATATCTGGGGGGAAAGAAACATTAGAAGTAAAATTTAGTTTGAGAGGCAAATTATAGTTAGGGGCAAAATAACATACTTCTTTTTCCTTCAAACTCAGGTTGAGCAATAAGAGCTTTCTTTAGTAAATTAGGGAGAAATAAAAAGGCTCATGACCTGTAATGAAAATGGTTTTGGAAGAAGTATCTCATTAGATATTTTCTAGGTTTTATGGTTTCACTATAAACAGAACCATTTTATTTTCTGAATTTCACATTATAGTAACGATTTGTTGTGTCATACCCACCATTTCATTGGGGCAGTCACATTCCAGGGTGGAAGAGACTATGCTTCAGTGGTGGGTGCTAACATGTACCATCTATCAGAGGGTTGCTTTCTCACTGATTTGGTGGGTGACAGTTTCCGAATACTAACTGTAAATAAAATGAATTTAATTGAAGTTGTTGCCTTTTTAATACAAAAGTTTTTGAGTTCTTTGATCAAACGTTAGAGCTGCCTAGTCATGTTCTAAATACAGCATGCCTTCTTGTGTAGTGTGCAAGGTTGCTAAATAATTTTGTTTGTGGTTTCCCTCCATGAGGGAAGGAGTTTGCCGGTTAAGATATTTTTAGGTTGTTAGAAAAGAATTGCAGCAGAAGAGAATTTCTGAATTTGTTTATGATTTGCAGCAAACGTCTTAGTTGCCAAACAAACATCTAAAATGACACTGATTTTCTTTCTAATAGGAGCACCTAGACAAAGCAATTGAACTTAAGCCTCAAGATCCCTTTTTATATTACCTAAATGGAAGATGGTGCTATTCAGTAAGTTGTTTTTTTATCTAACATATGAATTGAGTACACGGGAAAATGATAATGTATTTGAAATGAAATAGTGAGATTTAAGACAAAGTACCTGTTTACTGAAGTAGATGTTTTGAGCTAAATGAAGCAGTACAATTTTCCTGAATTGACTCCAACATGTGTGATGTTAACTGCTAACCATTCCTGTCAGGTACATTAAGTAAGCTGTGCTTCTATGTCCCTGGTTGTTGTGTTCAGGTTTCCTAGCTAAATGTAACTTTATTACCTGTCTGTAAGTGAAGTTAAAGGCACTTACATGCTGTGGGATTATGTCTGTCAGCAAGGCTATCATACCAGCTTGGTAAATTCCAGGACAACGTCACAACAAAGACGCAGGCATAAAAATCTGTAGTTCACCAAAAAGTTTTGCAAGAGATAAAATTTGTGTTATGCCAACACAACAAGTCCTTTTAAATACTGTGTTAATGACATAGTGATAAGTATAAAAGAAAAATAAAAATAATTGGTTTACAAGTTTAGCTGTTGATTAAATTTTATTTTATTTTATTTTATTTTATTTTATTTTATTTTATTTATTTTATTTTATTTTATTTTATTTTATTTTATTTTATTTATTTTATTTTATTATTTTATTTTATTTTATTTTATTTATTTTATTTTATTATTTTATTTTATTTTATTTTATTTTTTAAGAAAAATGGTGCTTGTGCTTGTAATATGAGAGTTGTCTTATTCTTAAGCCCACGTCTTTGATGGCTGAGATGGCTATCCTTATTGCTTCATCTCCAGTGCTGTGAGGACTCTTTTGTCAGAATAAAATGTTCTTGCATAGTCTGTGCTGTGAAAGATCACTGGGAGGCTTTTCAGAATAACTGTGCTACTGCACAGTGAATTCCAGCCCTGCCTTTTTTCTCCAGCTACTTCCAATGCTAGTCACTACAAAGTACTTGCAAACTGGAAAGAAGGAGTTACTGTGACACATTACAGACTTTGTCTTTATCTGCAACAAGACTTAATGCAAACTAATCTTTCAGCAGGCTTTTCAGATCATATATTTAACTTATAAAGAGCTTTCAGCAACTTTTTCTCAGTTGATTTGAAAAAAGAATGACACCAGCTTTTTCAAAGAGTTTTTAACTTTATTTTTCATCACACTGGATTCTTGAATGTCAGCATTAGCTGTGTAAAAGTGAGTTGCTGAAGATCGTCCTATAGTATGCTTGCTGTCTTGCCTTTGAAAAGCATCTCTCTCACCAGTGACTCCTCAAGCACTTTTACACCATGCTGCTGTGTCCAACAGCTGACTGCAGCTTCCATTCATGTCAAACACTCACAGATGTTTTTCAGGGCTTGTTTCTCACTTGAGCTATCACTTTTGGAAACTTTACAGGTAATCTCAGTATACCTCACTTTGTTCTTTACGCTGGTTTTTTACTCTTGATTCATTTTAGTGACAATCACCACTTTCTGACTAATACATGTGGTCTGTTGCACTATATCATTACAAACTCATGTTCCACACTTGCAAAATCTATGCAGGGCTTCCTTACTGAACATTAAACCACAGATTGACATTGGCTTTAGTTTATGCCCTGACCTGCATTTTATTAAGTGAAACAGTCCACTTATAACAGATGTAGCCACTGAAATATTTAAGGATTGATTTCTGATTTCTCTTCTTTTTTTTTTTTATTCTTGTCTTCTATGATTACCATGACAAAATAGTAACCTGAAACACTTAGAACAGATTTGCATAGTACAAATAAATGCAGGTATAGGACTGAATCACATTTTGTTTTAACTTCTGGGGCTGTCAGCTCTTAAAAACTTACTGTCTTTTGCACACTTTCAGTAGCAGGATGAGACCATCGTTTGGAAACATTACTTTTGAGGCTCTACTATGGAAGCTAGATCTTAATCCTAGCTGAGTGAAATTGGTGATATCCTTATTAGTTTTAGCAGACTATATGAGTAGGTTTCTGTGCTGATCCACTAACACGTGTTTTGGCCATGCAGGTGATTTAGATAGTCTTAGGAGCTTGTGGAAGTTGTGGTAAATTCCTTGGTCCTATTCTGCAGACTGTGGTGTTTCATGCTGTGGTGATTATCCCAAAAGTAGACTGTTGGCTGTAACATAGGTTCCAAATACTTCTTCAGGGTAGGGATTATGATAGCGTGCTTGAAAAATTAATTTATCACTCCTGCTCTGTACTGGTACCTGTAGATGGAGTGGTAATGCTCCTCTTAGACCCTGTATTTTTTCTGGTTGGTCTAGCTGTGGTTGAGGCTGGGAAGGCTGTGTTGTCCAGTGTGAGGAAATTAAAGAAAAAGGCATGACTGAGGGAAGAAGGCTGGTTTTAGCCTAGCTGACTTTGGGGTCAAGTTAATGTTGGCTACAATATTTGTTCCTTCGTAAGCGTTGCTTCCAGGGGTATTATTGTTTAATTTTAGTCACATATTATTTTACAGAAGCAGTGTAGCTAACAACGATAACGAGTGTTTCATACGTTGTAGGCTTTGGTAACACTTTTGGGAAACCTGATGTACTTAAGTCTTCCTAGTATAGTCAGACATCTCCTGTTCACTCTCCATTTAATGTTCAGGGATCTTACTAGTATCTTCTAGCACTTTTTTTTGGGCAGACAAACTGGAGAAAAAAAAAAAATAAGGTATAGCATAAGAGACTGTGAAAGGGGATGCTTCAAGTGTCATAGGTTAGGATTCCAGTTCATTTTCATAATCAGTTGAGTAGACTTTTAGGTAAAAAGTATAGTGGAGGCAAATGGAGAAGGTTTATGGAAGGCTGAAATCTATATCCAGAGACTGCGTGCTGTACTAGTGAAAGCTGTTTGATCTGTGGAGTTTTGCCAGAGTTTGGCTCTGACTGCCATTTCACACCTTCCTCAGTGTAGCACAGTCCTTTGCAAAGAGCGATGGTTCGGCAGTGCCAAGTTTCTTACTCAGCAGTTATTCACACTGGGCCATCATCCAAAGCTGATGCTTTGGTGTCACAGCACCTTCCAGCAGGAAGGATGAGCTGGATTTTCACTGCCTTGCAGCAGTGGGCATTTGTCTCTGACGCAGAGCCAGTGACAGTTGTGTGCCACCTTCTCTGAAAATAAATTTTTGCTGTTTCTTATTTATGTCACCATTATAAAGCCAGCAGAGTTATACAAAAGAGGAAGATTCTGTTCTGATGTGTGTTTTTTAGAAAATTACTTCTGTTGTTATGATCAGGTAGGCAAGATTTTCCCTTATCATTTCATAGATGTCATGATGGGCAAAACTTTGCCTGTGAGACCTGCTGAGTGTACAAGAAGCTACATACAGCTCTAATGTTTTTTTGGTTTATATTGCAGAGGCAATGAGGGAAAAAAGCCCTATTTATTTATGTATTGAGCAAACATAATTGAACAACCCTAGTAGTGGCTAACTGCAGAACCCTACCAAATGTTATTTTAATATTCCTTTTTCCAGAGCTGATATGAACTTTTACATAGTGGTAACTTTTTCCAGGGTAGCTTTAGTGATAATGTTAGGAAAAGATGATTACCATATAATTGTAATGAAGATACTTTAAAATATCTAGTAAGCAAAGTAAACAAGTGTTTAGTATGTAAAAGAGATGTTACTATTCCAAAGAAAAACAACTGCAGCAAAATAATTCTCATTTAAAACATTTTTGGTTGTGGACAAAACTTTTTATTCTCAGCCTTCTGTTACAAAACCAGGCTTTGTTGAGTACATATCTTTTAGGGAAGGTTTAATGTTTTAAATATATGCTTGGGTTGGTTCATATGATTTAAAATAAGTACAGTGTTTAGAGCCTTTCAAGTTTCAGCTTTGTTTTTGTTAAGGGAAAGTGAAAACTACTTTGCTCTTCAGATCAGCAAGAAATACTTACTGGAAGTGAATTGATCTGTGGCGCATGGTGTATAGGAACTAGTTTTCTTTCCTTGGTTTTGGGTGCAGTTATCTGACAATCCTTTATAACTGTGTGTTTGTGGGTTGTTTTAGTGTTTTAATGTTTAGAATAGCTTTTAAAACAGAGTACGTGTCTGGTTAAGACTTATGCTACTTGCCATTACAGGGCTGGCACAGAACAGTTAGCTTATACTTGTGAAACTGGATCAGAGCCTCTGGTAAATGCTAGTGGGGTGTTAAAAATTAGATCTCTCAGAATTTTCTTTTTGCAGGTTTCATGTCATGTGTTGGATTAATCTCTGATGTATCCCAGTGTCTGTTTGGGTTACATCAAGGAACAAATTGACCCAGTTCCTTTGTCTGTGTGCTTTGTAAGTCTGCTCCCCTTACTGGAAAGTGAAAAGCCCAGGGAATTCAAGTTGAATAAATGCCTAAATGCCTGTGCAGACTGTCCTGGTTCCTCAGCTGGCAAGGAAGAGAATATTTGTGTTGGAAGCCAGTATTTTAAAACTGCTGTCCAGTTACTTAATCTCTTCCAGAAGTCAAAACATTGCAAAATTATTTAATACAATTTTATGTTAATATATTGTCATAAAACAGAAAAAGAAACTCTCTGGGGATATTTAAGCAGGTGCCATTAATATTTTTCTGAAGCTGGATCAATGGGATGATTTTCCTTTATGAAAGACAATTGTGTGATCTGTCTTGAGTTAGCTGTTAGCAAGGAAGCATCGGAGGAGGAAATCCTTTAGGGCTGCAAGTCAATACTGGCTGAATTTTCAGTCCAAGTGGGTTAGTTTCCTTGGTACCAACATCCTGGAATTTGAAAAGAGCTGTCAATGGGCAGGGTTTGCATTTCATCAAAAACAAACAGAAGATAAAAACAAAAAAAACCAAACTCCAGACAGTGTTTTAGTTCATATGTGATTTTTGCTGATTGCAGGCTAAGGAAGAAAAGGGGATGTTAGAAAATCCCTTTTCCTGGTATTTAGGAGAGAACCACATTTTCTGCCTTGATCTTCAGAGGAGCAAGAGGCCTGGTAGGAGCATGCTGGGCACGCACTTTATGGTCAGCTGCCATTTAACTCTGTGGGTGGCTTTCTCCCATCTTTGGTATTAATAGAGATTTAAGTAGAATAAATGGATGGGAGCTTACTGTTTGACACATCTGTAGGAGAGGTTGTCTGGGTCAAGCAACTCTGTTAGCTTTCGGATATTGAAGAGTGGCATCCTCTCCTTGGCAGTGGCCAAGCTGTCGTGGTGACCCACTCCCCTCCAGCTAGGGAAGTTCAGGAGTTGCTTAATGGTCCCTCAGGCCCTTGTTTTTTGCTCCTGGGCCAGTGAGACTGTCTCTCCTCATGTGTGGTAGCTGAGGAGCGGTGTTCCTCAAGTGACCCCGTACATTAAACCCTGATATTCTGTGGAAACACAGTGTTCCTTGCAGTGTTCTTGTGAATATTCAGGCTGCTGGAAGGACTGACTTCCTCTCTTTTAGGGAGACCTAAAAAAACAAAATTCACTTTGGAAGTCATCTGTAGGGTAAGGGCAGTCTTCATTCTTTAATTTTGTTGTTTTCATTGTAGCTATTACTTGAACTTGCTGCAGTATCTGTTTTTCTTATTACTTTCTGCTGTCCTATACCATTATTGGAACATACATTTAGTGGAATCATGGTTCCACTGAAGTTGATGACAGTTACAGTCTCTTTGTACTTGATTTTATATGGACCTCCAAATATGCTTTGCACTATTTGGAATAACTTTGACTGTAGAAGTCAAATTTGCACTGTGCTAGAGCATGCTACTCCAGGGTTTCTGTTGCCTGTGCTTGCTCACACACAGAGGATTCTTAATAAAGTTAGTTGGTATAGTAGGAATGATGTTTCCATTTCACTGAACATTGCATAAGATTTATTCTAATAAAGTTATTTCGAATTAAAGACTGTGCCTCTGTGTGTTTAGGGGAAGGGTATAATTTCCTGTTCATCATTATTGCTCCAGGACACAATTTTGTGTCTTGCATAAAACAGGTCTTTCCCATTTGTCCCACCTCAGTCACAGGGAGATGCAGACTGACTCTCTTGGGGAGAGGTTAAGCTGTTGTGATGGGATTCACCTCACTTCTCTGTAGCCCCACAAGGTATAATTGTCTATGCTCCTTTTGTAGCTAAAGGGAAGAAAGAAGGAAGAGGGGAGTGTTCATCCCAGGCTAATGTAGGTGGAGAGGAATTGACCATGCAGGGAACCTGGACAACTTGTGTAAACTAGGCACTTCATTCATCGATGGCTAAAGTTAGCAGCAATTAACTCATCTCAAGCCACTGGCATATAAGTCTGACTACTCAAAACACTACGGAAGTCTCGGAATGTCTGTGTAATGGTCACAAAGTATAATGCTGGAGCCAGTGCGCGTTAAATAAAACTCACTGTTGTGCATACATTCCTCCCACCTTTAAACATTGTTTTAGGTTGGTGGGTTTTTATAATATAAAAATGGCCAAGTGCATATATGTTTGGGCTTTTTAAAAGTTTGAATAGTGCAAAGCAGCACCTAAGCCAGACAAAATAAGGACTAAAACCTCAGTAAATCAGTTCTGATTAAATCTTGTAAGAAAATAAAACAACTGCCAGGAAGAACTTGTGTTTTCAATAGGTAATTGTAACTCCACATGGAAAACCTGCAATTTTGTTTCTTCACTATTGCATAACAGCAGACACACGCATGGTAATTGTATCTGTGCAGTATATGTGTATCTCCAGGGTCTTGTGTGGTCTTGCAGAGAAAAGTGTAAGCATATAATATTCCCTTTATTTTTCCCCCCTCTCTTCCTCCCTCTGTAAGCTGTCTCTATCAGGGTGTGATGGATCTAGAAATATAGAAAACCCCTTCCTCTGCAAAACACTGCAGCAGTAGATTGGCATGAAGGAAAAAAATACTTTTGCAAAAATCCTTTTAATATCTTTCTCAGAATATGTCTCAGAAACTAGACAGCAGCTAGGAAAATGCAGTATATGAGGGAATTATATACAATTTGAAGTTTTAACCAGCATGCTGCAGTTTTTAATCCAGTATGAAAACACTGCAGTGCAGCAAGGGAGATGTTGCTTCAAAGAATTAGAACTCTGGGATCGCTGGAGAGCTTTTCAAAAAAAACTTTATTCCCTTAGAAGAGGCTTCAAGAATGGGATGTGTAGGAGAGAGAGTATGAAAAAAAGCTTTATTTTCTTAATATTGCTGCTCTCTGGAATATAATTGTTAGTGGGTTTGTGTGAAGGACTTACTGATGGCATTTAACAAATAAGGCATTAGACCATGCCGAGCGACCAGCAAGACTTGACCAGGATGCCTTCTGCCTCCAAGAGATGTCGTTCTTATGTATCTGGAGTCATTTGGGCCAGATGAGAAAACATGTCCCTAAGCATTTTCCTGTTGTGTACTGGCCTATATTTGTACTCTTTGCAGTGGCATTTTTAGGGCAGTTTGCAACAAGAAATACATGAGCTCCATGTCTGTTCAAAAGAGAAGCGTTCTGGTTGATGGCTGTGGATAGTTATCATAGAATCATAGAATGGTTTGGGTTGGAAAGGACCATCCAGTCCAGCCCCCTTGCCATGGGCAGGGACAACTTCAACTAGATGAGGTTGCTCAGAGCCCCATCCAGCCTGACCCTGAATGTTTTCAGGGATGGGGCTCCTACTACCTCTCTGAGCAACCACCCTCATTGTAAAAAATTCCTTCCTTACATCTAGTCTAAATCTATCTTCTTTTAGTTTAACACCATTACCCATTGGCCTGTCACTACAGGCCCTGCTAAAAAGTTTGTCTTCATCTTTCTTATAGGCCCCCTTTAAGTATTGAAAGGCCACAATAAGGTCTCCCTGGAGCCTTCTCTTCTACAGGCTAAACAATTCCAACTCTCTCAGCCTTTCTTCATAGGAGAGGTGCTCCAGCCCTTGGATCATTTTTGTGGCCCTCCTCTGGACCCACTTCAACAGGTCAATGTCTTTCTTGTGCTGAGGACTGCAAAGCTGGACTCAGTACTCCAGGTGGTGTCTCGCAAGAGTGGAGTGGAGGGGCAGAATCACCTCCCTCAACCTGTTCACGCTTCTCTTGATGCAGCCCAGGATACGGTTGGCCTTCTGGGCTGCGAGTGTGTGTTGCCAGCTCATGACCAGCTTTTCATCCACTAGTACCCTCAAGTCCTTCTTGGCAGGACTGCTTGCAATGCCTTCATCCCCAGCTTGTATTGATACTGTGGATTGCCCCAGCCCAGGTGCAGGACCTTGAACTTGGCCTTGTTGAACCTCATGAGGTTCACATGGGCCTACTTCTTGAGCTTGTCCAGGTCCCTTGGGATGGTATCCCATCCCTCAGGTGTGTCAACTTGATCCCACTGTTTATGTCATTGATGAAGATATTAAATAGTACTGGTCCCAGTACGGACCCCTGAGGGACGTAATTTGTCACAGATCTCCATCTGGACGTTGAGCCTTTGACCACTACCTTCTGGATGCTACCATCCAACCAATTCCTTATCAAATGTGTGGATGGATTCTTATATTTTACCATAATTAACTGACTGTCTACTGGATAATTGCTGGATTTAGCTGGAGAACATGCAGGGAGCAGTAACAGTCCTGAAGAGATCTGGAATCCAAGGAATGAGGCAGGAATAATCTAAAGCTACCCAAAACCATAGTTCAAGGTTCAACTCTGTCATTTGAATCGCAGCTCCCTCTGAAAAAGAAGTATCCCTATGTGACTCATTTCACCTCCAGGTCTCCAATGAGGGGCTCTCTTTCTTTGCCTGTGTATATCCCTTTTCTGTGTTGCCTCTGCATGGATCAGGCCAGAAGTTGCTAGGAAAACTCAGAACCTTGGTTTTTACCATTTTTAAACTCAGCTGTACTCTGTGTCAGGAGCCATCAGTGCTGTGGTTCAAATACTGATGTGAAGGAATAAAGTCCTGATTTTTCTTTCCAGATGTAGTAGAAATGCCCAAGGAAGATGGCTTCACTTCTACATTTAAACAGGCTCCAATCTCACATTGCATTTCTTAGTAGGTCCATCCTTTGTTAGAGATGTGTGGTGTGTTTTGCCAGGTTAGGTGATGGAGCCAAATACCTTATGGCAGTAACTAGAGCAGTGTCTGTCAGGTGTCATTATATGTAAGGGAAGAAGTCATGTATATCACATGGCAATGCGACAGTTCCCGAAGGTCCTTTTATAGCAGCCCATCTTCCTGAAATGAGAAGAGGTCTTTGGTGAGTGTTATTTGTCAGATTTCAGGAGTGAAAAATGAAAGCCTGGTTGTCACCAGCTTCTGTGTAATCAGTAAACTTGTTTTACAAGCACCAAAAGCACTCACATTTTGACTGTAGCTACAGCTTTTCATAATGTTGAAAAGTAGTCAAGTAGATGGACTATCATGCACGTCTATCTTAGGAAAACCTTAACAGGTTTAAAGCACTGTTTCTAGTCTTAGGTTTTAAAAAATGGAAAGCTCTTGTGAAATGTAAACTGTACTTTAAGCTTTGTACATTGGAATAGTCTCATATCAATGATGTTAGTATTTCGTTACGTAGTTCTGAATGCGTACATTTTCCTGTTAACAGAATCTAAGATATAAAAGGCTGTGCTTTGAGCTGGCAAATCAACAGCATAAAACATTCCTTTACAGGTTCTTTTGCAAAATAGGTTGTGTAAGTATTACAGTGATACAGGACAGTATTTACTCCAAAACTGAGAATCAGCCCTTTTTTTTTTAATTACAGGTAGCTCAGTTGTCTTGGATTGAAAAGAAAGTAGCTGCTGCTCTCTTTGGGACTCCACCAACTTCAACAGTAGAAGAAGCATTGCAGAATTTCCTTAAGGTAAGTCCAACCAAAGGGTTTTTCTGTGTGACTGTTTACAGATGCTATATGTGACTGTTGTCAAGATGTCTGCTCAACAGATTATGTTCAGTAGCTATAAATCCAGGGCTTTCCTAAATACCACAGAGCTCTCTACTAAAATATTCTTTTCTTTTCTATTTAAAAATGATTTTGAAGAGGAATGATGGCACCTTTCTTTTCTTTCTTGAGTTTTAGGGAGCTCTTCAATGACTTGCCATGGTTAATAGTTATTGCATTTAATGTGAGATGGGTATAGATTACTTATATATGCCACTGAAAGAAATTAACCATAGCACTAACTGATGATTTGCCTTTTCTGCAAGAGGATTAACATAGGCGAGGAAAACTTTGACATTGTGACACTTTTCTTTTTCTGATCTGAACCTCTTTTCATTGAATTTCAGTAGAAGCCTTTCTTGTTTGTGGAGTTGAAATTACCTTTGTAGTGAAATAGAAAACTCTGTCATACAGGTCCATGTCCCTGGGCATTCTACTTGAATGCACAGTTATGAGAAAGTATCACATGAATAAAAGAAACCTGTCTTTCAGTGTCTTTTATATTAATAATTTCTACTTCTGGAGCTGAAAAATACAAATTTTTCACTTGACTGAATTCAAAGCATAAACTTCCATCATTGCACTTACTTTCAGAGAGTTTCTCAAAGGAATTGAACATATGTATTTTCTTAACTATCAAAAGTGCTTGGTTTCTGTGTTCTTAGTCTATTTAAAGATGGAATGCTCTCCTGAATTTTGGATGATACAATACATTACCATCTTCCCAGTTTAAGAGATTTTATCTTTAAGCTCAAACTCCAAACATGGTAGAAATAATTTGAAACGTTCAGTTTACCTTCAGGGTATTTTGTGGTGGGCTGCAGAGTAACTGTGGTTTTAAGTCATCTGCAACGAAAACTAAATTACTGTCTAGAAGACAACTGTTTGGGTTTCTTTTTCAGTTGTTTGATAATACACGTTTGTAGTGAAAGCAGCATTATTTTGGTCCAAGGATTACAGCTACTATAGATTTCACTGATGTAATTTTTCTCCTCTAAAAGTTGTTTGTTGATTAAAGCTGCTTCTTGGTTAGTAAATAATTGGCAAGGTTTTTACTCATCTTTCAAGCTTCTGCATCCTTGATGTGTTTTAAAAGGAAGACAATCCTGAACTGTTTTAATGACCTGAACTTTTCAGAAGATGGTAATGTGAAAAGAAAGGTGAACCCAGAGCTAGAAGATACGGGTCTGTGAAAGAAAAATAATTATAAAGTTGATGAATACAGTTGATTACCCATTACACAAAGTGTGAATGGTTGGTTGCCTGATTATTTTTTTGATGAGGAAATAAATATTAATAATCTAGAGAGAGCAGTATCTTCCAACCCACCGTGTAAGTTAATGAATCCAATAGATATTCTATAGAATGATCCAGTATCTTTACAAAGCACTTAGGGAGAGAGGAGAGCAAGAAGTACAGAACATTTTTATGTCTTCAATATCAGCACCTCATGTGACTGGTTTGGGGTTTGGGTTTTTTTGTTTTCTTGAGGTTTTTTTTGAAGTGCTAAACAGATTGTGGTGCACACAGTAGGGATGACTGAGGAAGGTTAAGTGCGTTACTAAAAATGCTGTGCAGACCACATAAATCTCATCACACAAGTTTTATGTCTATTTTCTTTCCTGTTTTTTATTATTTAGGCAGAAGAAATGCGTCCAGGATATTCCAAATACAATTACGTGTATTTGGCAAAGGTAACCAAGTTCTTTTAAAAATAATGATTTTTAGACTCTGGTATTCTTACAGTGGTCTGATTTGAAACAAAATGTTTTTTCTTCTCAGTGCTATAAAGATCTTGGCCAGAAAAACAATGCACTGAAGTACTGTGATTCTGCACTGTCAATTCTCTCAGTTACTAATGAGGTGGGTATTGAGAGTGATAACTTGTTCTCTTATGACTTCTGTCTTGTCTTTGGCAACATTATTGCACCGTCAGTGATAACATAATGTTTCACTTTTTCCCCTGAACCTTCCTTTTTCCTCCACTCTAGGTTGGCTCATTACATTGTCTGTATCAACAGCTTTAAAAAAAAACATCTTTATTAGGGGAACTGTTGGGGACTTGTCTGTAGCAGAGGCTGTCAGAAATTGAATTGCACTCTTTGTAATTCAGTCTATTTCATTAGACTATCTTAAGCATGAGCAGTTGAGTGTGTCACTGTGCTGAAATTTAGCCCCAGACCTACTCTTTCTCAGTTGAAAGCATTCTGGATTTTTGTCCCACAGCCTCTATTTCTACTGCTGAAATCCTCTGGTTTGTGATTCTTGTCAAGGCCTCCAGGGCAGTGTGTTAGCTGTAGCAGAGGTAGATGAGTTATTGAAGTTTGCCTTTATCTTCAACCACAGTGCAGTTAAAGAGGCACAGTTCTTCCAGTTATATCTGCTGGAACATACTTTATTCTAAGAGATTGTATTAGATTCTTTTTTAGTCCCTTTAGAGTATTTCTAGTATGTGGATGCAAAATTTCTACAGATATTTGAGAGATTTTAAGTGATTTACTTTCTCAAATATAAACCAAGTCATGGCAAGAAGGTTTGCTCCATCTGACCTCGTGTAGAAGCAGGTTCCATAATTACCGACCTGTGACTGGAAACATCTTACCATCCTAGAGCGTGACAAGTTCAAACCCGAGCTTTGTCAACCTAAGGGACCCCCTTTGAGCACAGCAGATGTGGTAGGGAGTGAGAAAGGTGATTCCAGAGACGAATTGACCCTATCCCATATTATTCTTTGAAGTTAAGGAGAAAACCATTAAATAGCTCAGTAACTTGATTGACAATAAATGCTGTGTATGGGGCACTAACATGTTTATGTCAAGTGTTCCTGCTGGGAAGACAGACCTCTGTATGCCTCACCAGCAGCTGCTCCTGGGTGGCCTTTATTTTTGGCCCAAGTTATAGTATGTACCCATCATAAATTAAGCAATCACTGCTTAAGTTCAGTGTTTCTTTAAATATATATTGATACAGATATGACATTAATAATCTCTTAACTGCTTTATTCTTTACATACTGTTGAAATGTACTTTCAGCTTGTCTCTGACAGAACATAGGAGAGACTGCTGTAAATTACCCATTATTTGGTATCTTTCTCTTACATCATTACTCCTACTTTTTTATGTAAAGATGTGAGTGCATACAACTGAAATTGCTGGAACTTAGCCTGTTTTGTATGTATCTGCACTGACTGTGCTGGTGAAGTTTTTGTTTTTCCTGTGTTCAAGTTACTACAGACCAGATAATCTTGCAATGAACTCCAAAGCTCTCTGGTAAAATTGCAAACAAACATATGTCATGGGAACTTCTGGTGGGCAGAAGACTGCCTGTGTTTCGCATACTGGAAGTCATTCAACGTATTCATAAAGACTCCTTGAAAAAGTATAGAGATCATAGCTTGGGATTCATCTTTGATAGCAATAGCTGGACAAAATTTTGGTTACCAAAGATAGTTGCTGAGGTTCCTCATACACTTGGTGGAGAGAGATAGGTGCATCTAGGTGCACCATCCTGCCTCTCTCTGTCCCCTGGTGGCACAGAGAGACTAGAGGCAAAGATATGTGTAAGATGTGTTCCTGAAACACCTGACTCCTAGACTGTGCAGCTAATGAGAGGTGAATCCTGCCTCTCAAGTCCAGTGTCATCAGTCTAAACATGAGCGGGATTTCACTGTGTCTTGGGCCACTTGGAGGGGTTTAGTCCCTGGTAAATGGAACACCCCATCACATTTCTGAAGTACCAGCAGACCTGAGAAGGAGTGGGGACCCTGAGGTGAGCAGCAATTTGGGAGCAATCTGAGGAGGGGTGTGTGTATTCTGGCAAGCAGGGTGGTGATGAGAATACGAATGATACTGGTTTGTAAACAGAAGAGCGAGTGGTAAATGGGCCCCAAAAATCTTTTGTCCATTTTAAGATGACAAGATGATTTGTCCTCTTCTGTTTTGACTGATTCTGTAGGTATCACAGATTTGTCTGCTTTGTCTTGTTTACTTGTGATATGTATTGAGTTAAGCTTTTAAAAAAAAAAAAAAAGTCCAGGAAAATATAATATTGGGGCAATAGTGTGTAATTCAATTCCTTTTTTTTTTTTAATAAAAAAACAGTCAGCACAAGGTAAAACCAAGTGCACGCTGGCAGGAATTACTGTAAAATGGAGATCTGGAACACAAACTCTGCTGATGCTAACTGTTACCTCAAGTCCCATCTGAATTAGAATATTACTTGTTGGTTTGGTTATTGTGTTAGAGAAGGAGTGTTACTGATTTTTTGGGGGAAACACATTGGAACTGAAGTGGTTCAGGGCTTGGAGCTGTACTTAGGAATAACATGTAGTCAGGTTAGTTTAAGGGAGGGAAGAGACTGTAATAAGACTAAAGAGACATTGGGGAGACAGTAGGAAACAGATGCTGATAAAGTGCCTGAATTGACTACAGCCCTGTAGAAGATGTGGTTCGTGGTTTGAAACAGCAAATGCAGGTCAGCAGCAGTCTAAGGATTTCTTTCAGTTTGACACAGCACAGGATCTCAAGGTTGTCAGCAGCACAGCAGCATGATGTGTTGTCACAGTCATGTGAAACCGATCATTCCCAAGCGTAATCATAGTTTCTCATGTGAGTTTTCTCTGTTTCTTCAGGCAGGGAAATTCCTTTATTGTTTTTAAATGTTGGCTTCTACTGAGAAACATGTATAAAGGCATGAAATAAGGAGCAGACTGAGAGACACAGTTGCTGGAAGGGTGCCACGTTGAGGAAATGTATAGTATTTCATGATACAGAACATCCTGAAGCATAAGTATGAAAAATAATAGTAGACAATGGTTTACTTTTTATTGCTTCTGAGCATCCACAGTTTACAGTGACTTTCCAGTGGGAACCAGAGGTACTCGGCATCAGTAAAATAACCCATAGCTTGTTTTAATGCTCAAGTCAAATTCTGAGCTGGTCTAACTCAGGGAGCTTCTTTGGCACTTTGTCTAGGATTCATTTCATGTAACGTTTCAAGTTAAGTGAGACGATTTTTGTCTTAAAAGTTGTATCACATCCAAATATCCCTTCTACGCATCTGTTCTACCACTTACAGAATATGTTTTAAACTCAAGGGTAATTCTTGTTAAAGAAAAAAAAAATCAGATGGCCAATTTCAACCTTATCATGAACCTAAAAAAAGCTACCAAAGAAATCATAAAAGAAGAGACAAGTCCTGATTGAACGATCCTGTAAATCCTAACAAGTGTTTTTAAAAGTAGTTTGGCACATTTTGAACTAATCAGTCTATGCAGTTTTTTATTGGAAAAGGTAATGCAGGAGATTTGGTGCAAATTACATCTGGAAAATTAAACTGATGTTATGGTACTACTTTACAGACCTTTCTCTTTATCCTCTCTACTCTAAACAAAAACCCCCAATGAATTGTATGGTCCTTCCTTGGCCATAAATACTGTCATACTGTAGAGTGGTACTTCACTGCTGGAGGTACACGGGACATTAAATTGTCCTGCTTTTCTTTGGTTGCTGTCCAGGTGGATAACCTCAGGATCCTGGGAAACATTCACCCCTTCAGTAAAAGACATCCTAACGTTCAAGACTGCTGTGAATTATTGTAAAGTCTGTAACAGCTGCTCTGTTTATCTAGTAGATGTTGTATTACCCTGGCTGAGACTCATTACTTTGTAGTGCACTCAAAGCCTTGGTGAGTGTGACTACATGAAGGGCTGTTGAAACCAGATGTGGTGGACCACTGTGATGGAAAAAAAATGCTTTTTTAGATTTGGGGAGAAAAATGTAATTTTAATTTGAAAACATGACCATTTGTCTTGCATATAGAAAGACAAAATGAATGGGTAGGTGGGTGTGCTTGATTAACCACAGAGCTTTGCATGTGAGGAGGGTAAGATGCTAATGTCTTGTTTATAACAAAGATTGTTGGGTTGGAACTTGTAGAAAATTAAAGTCTCAATGTAGGGTTATGAAGTATAATAGTAAAGAAATTATTTTTCTTGTATCTGGAGGTGAGCATGGGTGTGAGAGTGAACTCTGTGCTTATAGGACCAGTAAACTCACCCCAAAGGGATTAACAGACTAGCGGAGAAAGAAATTAAAATTCCAAGGTTCTGGTCTCTTGACATTGTTTGAAAATGAATCTGAAAAGCAGCAGTTATATTACAAAAAGTGTAGTCTTGGAAGAACTGAAGACAGCAGAGCAGGAAGAATGCAAAGAAAATCTGTTTGCACTGACAGTCACTGAAAGTCTTACTTATAAAAACTTCCCTGAAGCTGAGAATGTATTTTACAAAATTATTGGTGATTTAAAAAAAAATAATCTTAATTTCAAAAACACTCTCTCCTTCCCAGCAATTACAAATGAAGGAAATTCAGAGTTGAAATTAACAAGTGAGAGAGATTTAGGTATTACAGAAATTTGTCATCAAGGCATTCACTTCTTATGGGTATAGAATGGAAGGAAGCAGAAACTTGTTAACGACTGCCTTTGGCCTCAGTGATGTTTGAAACTCTAGAAAAGCCCATGTGGAGGAAGAGGTGAATGTAATAATGGACAGGAATGATGGCTGAATGTTTACACAAGAGTGCAGCTGCTGAGGAGAAGTCATACCCATAAGATTTTATTACATTTTTTTTTGCATTACAATAACTGATCTCTCTGGTCGTTCATTTACATTTTTAATATTGTCTGTAAGAAAAAGAGTTGGAGTTACAGAGGGATGGAGGAGAGGGCAGATTATAAATGTCAGCACCCATCAGTTGTTCCTTTTAAAATAGACCATTTATATATCTTGAATTTTCCACAACGGATTTTCCAATAGATTGGTCGTATGTAGCAGACGTTGCTGTGGTATTTCCAACAGGTCTCATTTGAAGCTGCTGTGATAATCTGTTCTAAGTAAAATTCTGAGGACAAAAAAAAGTAATTTACTTTTGCTTTTAAATAGAAGG